GGCCTTTTTGCTTTCCACCTCCCTTTGACTCATCAGCATGTCTGCACGGGCCATCCAGGAGAACACTACTATGGGACAGCTGCCAGTAAAACGGTGATCTTGTCCCACGCTCACATGACGTAAACTGGTTTCAGCCAAGGCAATGGAGTCTGGCCACTGAATATCTAACAACAGCATTTCACTGCTGCTCACAAACAAGGACCCGATCAACATGCTGCTAGAACCAGTGACTTCTAAGGTTTGGTTCAACTGGGTTTTAAGAGAGCAACGTATATATTCACCTTTAATGAACCAGACTCATAAAGATAAAACATAGCTTAGTAACTACTAGTGTATTCAACAGTAATAACCGGTTTGATATATATTTGTATATAGTCACCCTGAGAAGACACATTGGACATGTTTTTATATTCTTAGATCATAAACTCGGAGAGGCAAGTGTTAAAACATGAAGGAGGTAATGGCTGGGTGCCTGGCCAGGAAGGCAGGCTGGCAGGAAGTGACTCATCTGCCCATTGACTGCACAAAGTACTCACAGAGGAAATTCATCTGTAGGTTAGCCCCGCAGACTGTCACTGCCATAATGGATTAAATCTTCCCATCATTGGACTATTGCAGCACTCAAAAAACATTAAAACATATGATTGTTTGTGGGGGAAGTTGGTTTAAAAGGGAAAGGAAAGAAGTTAGCAGTGTCCCCTGCCAAGGCACTGATAAATGGGTTCTGTAGCAATGGCAACGGTGAGGGAGAGAGTAAATCAGCAGCAGGTATCATTTTCTTATGACTGCATGCTTCTCATTTATCTTGAATGCTCTGAATTCATGCTATGAATCAGAAGCAATACCACAACAGTAGTATTTCAACTGGTCTGGTAGAGAAAGATCTCAGCGGCATCTGCTCTTCCAAATTTATTGTTCGGTTACTTACCCAACACACTTGAGTGACTAGGACCTCTTTGCAGAGTCTGAAAGAACAACAGTGCTTTTTTCCCTGCTGATATAGAAAAGATGGGTCTTTCTGCAAGCTGAATAGAATGTCCCTGCGCCTCCTCTTCTTTGCTTCTAACTGGGAAAAAAAGCTGCCCAGGTGGCCTTCCAGACAGAGTGACCTCAGAGTGATCGGAGTGCGCAGTATCCTTCCTCGATTCCTTTTGGCTTTCGTTCCATTTCTCATGTTATACAAAAGGGAGAAGCAGATCCCTCAGATCTCAGAAACCTCTGCTCAATAAAGCAGCACAGTTCCATTTCATAAAGTAATACACCGACTACTTCTAATCTGGGGAATCTGAAGAGACAATTTTCTTTTTACTGATATACTAGCTAACACATTGTCCCTCAAAAATGATTAACCATTAAGACACTACATAGAATGAGAGAATGCACTCTGCCTAAATTCTACAGTATGTGTTTGGATTTAGATACCTAACACACATCGGAGTGGTAGTTGGCAACCCAGTCATGCTCTTTTCAGGGCTGCGTAACTCTGTAGACAAATAAAATGTCTTCACTGATCTAGAAAAGTCTCCCGGGCATTATCAAATTTGTCCTGATGTGCTCAAAGGTATTGTTTAGAGGGATGCAAGCTTGACTTGCAATCTAGTAAAGACAGGTGCTAAAATGTGGGAGGTCTTAGGTTCTCGGATGTCCTCAGCAAGAAAGGGAGTGAACCTGTATCACTTTCTTGTTTCCTCCACCCCCAGAACACAGGGTATCTCAAGTGAGATGACTCACTACCATTTCTTCTTGAAGGGGCCATTTCACAACCAAGACTATGAGAGAGAGGAAGAGCAGAATTACAATTACACTGCACCTTACGTGTCTTATCAACTTAAGCTTCAGCTGTTATGTACTCAGGACCTCTGCAAATCAGGCCTTACAAACGGTGCCCGTTAAAGAATGAATGCAGAGAGTTTGCACTCACTAGTGAAAACCTTGGTTTAAGTGGGCTGCTTTGTCCTCGTTAAGCAGGAGCTCAGGTGCTGCAGTATTTCTTCATCCTCCCTGGTTTTGTTCTCTGCTAAGCATCACAGGCCCTTTCTAGGCATGCTGTAATGGAAGCTGCTGCAACTTTCCTCTTGCTGTCGGGGAATTTCAGCAAGCTTGCTGAAGAGCTCATATATGCGGCCTCCTCCGAGTTCAGATACCTCAATACGCATACCTTGCTTGGTTGTACTGTTCTAAGGCAATGAAAGGATGTATCCCAAAGGTCCGGCAGTGTACTGAACTGGTTGAGTCCAGCAGGCGCTAGCACATCAGGTAGCCTATCCTAAGAGATCCAGTCTCCAGCAAGTTGCCAGCTTGTTCATGGCTCTGCTGACTGTGCTTTAAAAGAACAGTTAAACTGTAGATTTCAACCCAGAACGGATTAATTTAAAAAAAAAAAAGGGATCTAGCAGTACTTTATCAGCCAAACTGCTGAACTGGACCACAAATGTGATTAGTACTGTAAGACTGGAAAAGCTGTGGGACATACAGTACCTCAGTATTCTAGGCCCAGTTTTACCGGAGCAGAGGAAACATTTTCATCTACGAAAAAATAAACTTGGTTTAATTTTCTTCCACTTACTCAGCTGCAATGATCTATGCACAGGTTTGAGGACACCACAGGAATGTGAGTGCCCAGTTGTCATACTTGTTGCTAACTGGGCATTCCCTTGCTTCACGAGACTTCATGTGTTTCATTAGTAAGGGAGGTAACTCTCTGCATTACCTGGCATTTCAGCTTTCCTGAAACACGGCTGCTCTGCTCCACTTTGTAGTTTCCCTGGCCCTCAGGCAGATCTTAAGTACAACAACTTTGAAACAAGCAGAATATAAACCCCAAAACCTTCTCAAGCACAGCATAAGCATGGAGAATATGAAGGAAATTTTGAGCTTGACTTTCACCTCAATTTTGTGCCACAATGACTCTGCTGATTTCAAGAGAGTTCTAATTTCCACTGGGCAGAGGGAAGAAAGTCAACCAACCTCCCATAAAAGAGTATTTAGGAAAAGGTCCTGCAGTTCTTGGGAGCAGTTCATCACATAACGTTACATAGCAAATTACGTTAGATGAGGCCCTAGCTACGGATCTATAGGGAAGTGATGAATAAAACAATACTTCTAGCATAGGTGGATGAAATTTCTCTTGACTAATTTATCATTTTGCATGGTAAAAAAAGCTCGTGGTGCTTGACTGTGGGGATCCGGTAGCTATGTTCTGGCTTTGCACTGGCCAGCTAGTAATATCCATCAAACGGAACAGCTAGCAAGGAGAATTTTTGATTGTAAATGAGACCACCGTGTAAGGGGTTGATGCAGCTCCAGTGGTGATGAAAAACTATGCCTCTAGCTGGCCTGTCAAAATTCAAGTAGGAAGACCATCATAAATGTTAATAACTCCAGGATTCTTCACCCTTCTCCAGTGGGAGTTTCAGTGTAGACACAGCATCCTGTAGGAAACTTCTCATTTTCACAGGCAGTAGGATCATGAGTGCAGGTCACTCTCACCCTGGCGCAGGTCTTTGTGAGAAGGAACAGGAAGGGGTGGCTCTGTGCTCTGGGAGGGAGGTGGATAAATTCCACTTCTTTTGATTGATGTCATGTTCCCAGTGGAGGAACTACTACACAATCAGTCTGAACAGTAATGTTTCTGTCATTTTCCCAAACTCTTAACAGTAAGCCAGCTACTATAATTACTGTTCTCATGATTTCACAGTATCACACCGAAGTACTTGGGCCTCATACTCCCTCATTCTCTGAAATTTTACAGTATTTTAACCCACCCGGTTTCAAGGGAGCTACTTCTAAATTTAAGCAAATCAAGAGAGAATCAGATCTTCTTTGTGCTAGCAAGCCTCTCAAAGGATTTACTGTGCTGTAAGCAACCACTCCATTCTCTGTTTACCTTGCAGGTAATAACAAGAATATTCTGTGGAGAATTCAAATACAGAAGAAACATACCAGGCAAGTCACTGAAAGAAATTTAAGGCTTACCTTTCTCTGTAAACATGTAATGCATTAGTAGATTAATTTCCCATTAGACAAATGAATGACCCAGGATGCAGCATGCTACAGAAGATGAACTGCATATCAGATGCAGTAAAACTCTAATCACAATTAAAATAGTCAAGTAAACATTATCTGAGTCAGAACCAAGCTACGCTAGGGTAGCTCTTCACCATGCTGCTAGGTTTGAAGTGTAGCTTATATGCCAGGGCTTAATGCCTGCATTAAAGTTACCCTGGTTACTGAGGGCTCCCATTCAATCACCTGAAATTGTTCTCTCTGCAGCGAAGAACTGTATGTTTATTACAGAGTTGGGTTTTGGTAAAATGACCCAGAGTACAGACACAGATACCTGAACCAGTGTATTTAAAATTGAAATTAGAAAAAAAACAGAAACAAAAAGCTCTTGATCCATGTCTTCAACATCAGCACTGTGACAAGGAGCACGGTAAGCAGAGATGCAGCAGAATTGTCATGATACTGATAATACAGAAATACTTACCACAGCATGATGATAAATCTCAATATTGCTAACTACACTAAGACAAACAGCATATATAGATGAACAAAATATAATGACATAGCTTTAGCATCATAATTTTTCTAAAGTGGCATAGTCATTTGGAAGGACAATCTGAATCGCGTATAATTCTAACCGTTACAGGAAATAAAGGATAACAGTCAATTAAGCCTGCTCTTCTGCAAGATTCACTATACTCTGGATGTATGAACGTAGCCATACAAGTCTTCAGGTTACATCAGGTCAATCAAAACAGTCAACTAATATAAGTAGTCTTGGGAAGAGTTTAGAAAACTAAAAGCCACATCAGGCCTGCAGTACATGCAGTCCCTAGTTTACGTAAAGTTTACGTCCCTTAAAGAAAGTATGTTCACTGGTATCAACAGAGGTCCAGGATGATTATTTTTAAATGCTTTGTAAACTACAGATACAATTGATAGAAGGATGGAGATTCAGAAGAACTGTATGTTAAGTAATTTGGAGGATATAAATGTTACGTGCTTGGATTTTTCCTAACCTCTTCATCCCAATCAAAATCTAATGTAGCATCATCTAGCTCCGCTATTGAAAAGAGAGATTTCTGTGGGACCACACTGGCTTTACTAGCATTACCCAACGCGAAACTCTTCCTTCTGCTAGGATTGCTCACACGCACCTTCAGCGATGGGCTATGGCTTTCCTTGTTAGTGTCAATCTTAATGGTAGGTGAGGTTTCCAATTTTGACTCGGGACGTGATGCAAAGGAGAACGTCGACAGTTTGGCTAATGTGCTGGAGCGCACCTTCCCTGTGCTTGGGCCACAAAGCTTCTCCTCTCCCTCCCTTTTCTTTTCAGTGGGTGGAGATGACATGGCATCAAAACTGACTTC